TTGATAAGTGGTCACTGTTGACGTTCCAAGTGCTTCCCAAACCCCAGTGTCCTGGGTGGGGGACAGGTGGGCTGATCCCCTCTGACAGGAGGGAGGCAGCCCCTTTCCGGCTGTGACCTGGCTGAGGTGAGGTGGTGAGGGGCCGCCGTGGGCTGGGGCTGTCCTGGGGGAGCCTGCAGGCAGGTGGGGCCTGGCGCTGCCTCAGGGCTGAGGAGAGGGGTGGGGCCATGGCACAGCGGCCCGGGAGCTGAGGGGCTGTGGGAAGGGCACTGGCCTCTCGCTGAGGAGGTGGGCATGCCTCACGTGTCTCCTCCTTGTGTCTCCTGCAGCTCCAAGCAGGAGCCCTGCCGGGGAAGGAGTTGGTGAGGAGGAATGCCAGGCGCCAGAAGTCCCTGTGACAAAAGTCCCTTGAAGTAGCGCATCCCTGCTGTTCATCCCACACTGTCCTACTTGTTCTCGCTTTAAAATGTACGTAACCCTTCGCACTGGCAGGTGAATGTCTGCTCAAGAGCAGCAGTCGCCTCGTGGGTCTCTGACAGCCGGGTGGTAAGCGGCCTACAGCCAGGCCCCGGCCATCTGCCATGGAGACGGGCAGGCAGGCCCCGTTTCCCTGTCAGATGGCTTCCCCTCTCTGGTAATACATGCAAGCAGCCACACTGATTGTCTCTCTGAGCTTGGAAAGTTGTTACTTTGTGCTCTTGATAAAGTGATATAAAAAGAGTACCAGTCGCTTTATTTTAGTGCTGCAGTTCCGCCCTGTAAAGGTCTGTGCTGTTCTGTTTTCTATCCACTGTTTGGAAAGTAATAATTTTTATGTTATCTTGTAGATTAATTGCAGTAAGAATTTGGGCATACTTGATACAGAAAGCTTTGCAGGCCTCCCAGAGCAATTACGTGGCTTTTTTGGCTTGGCTGTGTGCTGCGTATGTTGTAACAGACTCACGCGAGCCAGTTGTAGGAAAATCCTATAGATCAGGACCCTAAGCGTCTCTCAGGCCTCAGATCCACAGTCAGCCTGTGGCAAGGATGCAGCACACTTTTTTCCATAGAAATATTAAAAGTCAGGATCTTCGTGAAAGGGCATGAGATGGCCTAGCCGGATTCTCAGCTGTCTCAGCAAATTGGTTATTTCCATAGATTTGATAAGCTTTAAAAAAATGAGTAAACAGGATCACAACGTGCAAGCTCATTCTCACACTTTGTGATCAATCTGGAGACTGGAACAAGTATTCCCACAAACCTTTGAAAGGCATATATGCTCTTGTTTTCAAAAAGAGTTGTCTGCTTTTTGGGAGCCTTTCCTCCCTGATGTTGTAGCCCAGTGTGTTGCACCGGTTCTTCCTACAGCTGAGGCACATTCCTTTGTTGAAAGTGTTGATGTCGTTGCACCAGTATGCTGTGCTTTGCTTGTCCTTGTGAAGCAGAGAGTCGATAAACAAATGAACTGACCTCTCATGGGCACATTTCACAGTTTGAGCGATGCCTGAAAAAATGCAAACAACAAAATTTTGCATACTCTTGTTCCTCTTTACCATTTCAGCTGCAGAGGAGTACAGTAACCAACTATAAGCGTATGAGACAGCAGTCCCATTCTGAATGGTTAAACACTGTTGTCTTGTGGATGCTTATGTAGTCCCTATCAGAGTGACAAACTCATGTTTACTTGAGTTTTGCTTGCAGCTACTACTGGGGAAAAAGGAGCAAAAATGTATTAAATACAGTAAAAAATTTTAAGTACATAGATCTGCTTTTACAAGAAGTGTCTTTTTCTACCTTGAGTGTCATTAAATTACAAAACTTTATTTTTTTCTGTGTAATTTGGATATATCACAATAGACTGTTTTTTGTATGCCTTCACTAGTAAGCTTTCTAGCTGATGCTTGGTGTCATATTTGTCATGAGTTATCTACTAACAAGTAAGGTATACTTTTAGATAGCGTGATGATAGTTGAGAAATAAATTTGCAATGCAGTATGCTGAATGAACAGTACTCTCTGGGGGTTTTCAGTGAATGGTTCTGGTTGTCACTGCGCGTCAGTACCTTATCTTTTTTCAGTATGTTGCGTCAGTTTCTCTATATGTTTATGTTTAGGTACGTTGGAAATAAGCTTCTATTTATAAAACCTAGTCAGTCAGGTCCTAGAGAGAGCATCCTCTCCACAGCTGAAGGATGGGGAGTTGAGAACAGGTGAACTAAGGAGGTGAGTAGTGAAAGCCCTGTGTTTGATTTGATTTGAAATAATTAATTGCACACTAGATGAGTCTGGCTTAATTAGAATAAGTTTTCTCATTTCCTCTGCTGCTAAAACAAATACCTTTGAAATTATTCAGAAGTGGTTGACAGCAGGGTGCTCATGGCCTCATTTTCAGAAGTGCCAGGCAGCCAAATTCCTTACTAGATTCAGTAAGAACAGTTTGAACTCAATACATGCAAAAATCAAATCACCAACTTATAGAAAATAAATTTCTTTGCATATTATGGGAGATAATACTCCCATTAGATACTGTTTAAGACCGTAGAGATATGCAAAGTTTCCCAGAGATGCTGTCAGTGTAACTGCAATGCTGCTTCCCGTTTTGTGCCATCGGTTCTTACCAGTGATTCCGTATTGTGCAATGTGGTTATACACATGTAAGATGTGACAGCCAGGCTGGAAGGTGCCTCCGTTGGGATAAAAGTCGAAATGAGCCACAGGCTGCTTGATGCCAACACTGAGGCCCATGTGCTGTTTAGTGAATGTATGAATTGCATCTACAAAGTTTGCATCATCTGGAGATAAACGATCTGTTGATGACATTCCTTCAAACAAGGGACCAGCAGGGTCAAGGCCTGCAATAAATGCAAATAATCCAGTTGTGATACAGTGCAAGTGGGCTGGTTTTTAACTGTCATGAGAAAAGTCTGTGATAAATATTTAAAAACAGACAGCACTGGTACTGTACAAGGTCTTTCACTGATAGAAACAATGCTGGGAACGCTTGTCCTGCAGAGGATACGTGGTTACACCGAAAGGTAAAGTAAACACAGGCACTGTAATAAACAGTAAGTGCTACATACACGAGGTCACAGGCCCGGAGATAGATGTCTTTGTTACAGACAAACCATGCTCACTACTGCTTTTTCACTTGAGGGATGTTTGCTTAATTTGTTCTTTCGTACTCTAGAGGTCATGCATTTCAGAGGCCCATTTGAAGACACCAGTCCCTCAACAAGGTTGACTTTTAGCCCACATTGGGGACCTGAAATTTTATAAAGCTTCACATAGTGCTTAAAGAGCTATATGTCTGCTAGATGTTGTTTATAATAATTTTTCATCTTTAGAAGTCTTTAAGGCAAAGTATTACGGTATTCAGAAAAATTCCACTTACGGAGTCTTGCTGATTTTTATTTTGTTAGATATTTTTGTATGGTGTTCTTTTTGGTTTGGAACCGATTTATGGAAAAGGACTGCCTGTATAGTTTAAAGCTGCCTTTGGTTTTGAGGACAAGCTTCTAAATTTGGGATACTTCAGCTGGTACTATGGACTAACATAGTTGCATAGATGTAACTGGACAGGACCAATAACACAGGCTACAGTAGGGATGTCGCCTTGAAGGCATACATTTCCTTTTATTTCTAAATCTAGTCTCTAAACTGATGGGATGAAACTTCTAAACTGTGGCAAATATTGCTATTCAACAGTTAAATATTGATATGACAGTGATATGCCAAGTATCTATGTAATGTAAATCAGTTGACTGTTGCATTTCTTAAAGTTATAAGTCTTTTACCTGTAATTCTTCCAATCTTGTTCGTACCACTGATATAACTTCCAGCAAATCCTGAAACGTGAGCTCCTAGGCTGTACCCAATTAGATGAACGTTGCTTCTGGAAAACTGAATGGATTCCTAGAAAATAGCAGCAGCTTGATTTAGGTGGAGAAAATGTGAAAAGTAAACAGTGAAATACTTACTAGAAGCTAAGAATGCCATGAATTACAACACAAGAAGTTTGTATGTTGATGGTGGAGGTCAGATGAGGTGCATGCATCATGCACTTAATTTCTTCACTGGCTGAATGTTATTCCTTGCCTCCTTTTCATGCAGCAGGAAGATGCCACATGTTCGGGCACTGCTACTTATGTGCTGTGCTCAGGAAAACCATCAACATGGGTAGTAGCGTTTTTGTTGCAAGTGATGCAAATGTGCACTGCCTTTTGTCTGCAGCATTTGATTTTCCTATGACTATAAACCAGATAACTGTCCTTTAACTTCAGTGTAAAACAACCCCTTATAGAAAATACCTTCTTCTTTTTTTTTTTTTTTTTTTTTTCCTGAGATACTAGCACAAGCCAAATTAGAAACCAAAGTACCAAACCCTTGAGAAGACGTGCTAAGTGATATGGCAACGACATTTCTTGGACTGATTTGTACAAAACTGAGTATCTGATCTGAAACAAACCTACTGAAGCAGAATGGGCCTCAGGCCCTTCTTTCTGCCTAATCAATGCTATCTAAAACTTCAGCATTTCACCTGAGCTCCAAGGCTCAGTTTTTCTCACTTGTAAAGAAAAACGTGGCATATTTTTCTTGCAGACAAGGCAAACCTCTGTTTTAATTTCCTTATGGATGCTTGTCCCAGTGGAGAGGTTTTGCAGTCTTAGTACCTGTCTCTTGTGAAGGTGAGGTGAAACTTGGCAATATTCTTTTGAAAGAGGCAGCTCTTAGAAATCGCAAGACCTGACTGATTTTCTTAGCAGGTGTTACTGAGATGGATGCTATTGAGATTGTTACTGGTCATGGCTTATTAATTCTTGGACTAAGAGCACAAAATTTTACTTTATTTTTGTTCTTTATTAACACGTTGCACACCACTGTAGTTTCTGTTACACCCACTGCGGATATTTCAAATACTCACCTGCCTGTAAGCTGACAGAAGCATAGCAGAAGGACACTTATGGGTGTTGGAATGAAGGGGGTTTTAACTGTCAAACTCAGGAGGGGTGCTTCTCAAGAGAAGGAAGGTTTACTGCTTGAACATGCTCAATTGAATGCTGTGAAAATTTATGGTATATTTAAATCCTGGAACCTATTATGGTATGAGAGAAGCTACCTACTAATGCTGGAGCAGGGAGTAATTTACTCAAGCCTTAGTTTGTTTGCTGACACTGGAGAAATCACAGACTGTCTTTATTGTTGACAATGTGGTGTGTCCTCCTGGGAACCGAACAAAGTCCCCCATTTGATTCATTCAATAATTAAACAGCTTCAAAATATGCCTTTAGGCTCTAGCAACTTAAACTACATTTGACCAAGAGCTAAGGTTTCTTGTAATGTCACAGTGAAAAATGGTGACTCTCACTCTTCTGCCTTCTCTGTTGTGCCTGTTGTCCCTAACTGGGCATGGTATCTGACAACTTCCAGCCTTGTAATTCCTGTTGAAAGCAGCTTAGCCCTTAAATGATATTTGCTACAAGTCTTTCAGCTTTGCAGTGTATTTCCCTTCCACCTTAGGCCTCCCTGTATTTGAATGAATGTATTAAATAATTAATTGTGAGATACAGAAGTATAATTTCATTTCAAATTAGGTAGCTGAAATTAGTACTAGAGAGAGATGAAATAAGAGCTTCTTAGGGTGCCTGGTTTGTATGAGTGATTCTCATTCTGGTGTTTGCTTTCTGCCTTTTCTTAAATAGTGCTGGAGACCAGTGATCCCTTAAAGACTTGTCTGCAGCAGTTTCAATCCAGCCACGGCCACTGCTCCCGATGTAGCAGGAGTTTTGATAAGTAGTCACTACATGGCTCTGTACTCACTACTATCTCCATGTCATCTGCTTTGTGAGGCATGGCTGTCCCCTGAAAAGGTCTCCCTTTACATTCTGGATCTCTAAGCCATTATTTTAGAATAATCTTTGTGGAACTGAGGCAAAAATCAGACACAATATCATACTTGAGTTCTGCATTAAAACCAGACATTAAGCACAAACAACGTAAACCCATTTTACTGAAGTAACCATTTGCAAATTATAATGTGTGCCTGCTTTCAGAGTGTGGGACTTGCCAGCTGCCTGCACACATGCTAATTGAAAAGCTAAAGGAGCATGAAGAGTATCTCACCTCTCAAGATATATCAAAATACTTCAATAAACAAGACTACTTGCTTTTTTCTCTTGCATGATGAAAGTTTTATGAAGTAATATGGAAGTTTATGGAACAAAAATTTGCAATGTATTAGAGAAACATAACTGATTGAAATGAACAGCATTAACCAGTACAGTATTTCAGAAAAATAGGTCTTTTCCAGAGAAATGTGTCAATCTGGAGGCTCTTACCTCCAGCCATTCCAGGAAGTCTGCTATCTCCTGTCCAATGTAGCGTGTATTCTGTACAGCAATGGGATAGTGCTGGTGAGCAAATGTAATCCAGTCTGCAATGATCACGTTAATTTGTTTGTGTTGAGACTTCAGAGCTGCTGCCATTTTCCAAATCCAACCTTCTAATATCCCATCCACCTGTTTGTTTTGTTTTTTATTAAAAAAAAAAAGAAAAAATTCTTAAGGGAAAGCAGTCTCTGCCCAATATTTCTTATGAAAAGCTCAAGGAAACAAAAAACATAATATAAACAAAGAGAGCTTAATGCTGGTAACTAGATTCTCAGCTTCAGTGCTGAGAAACTTTGGGTTTTGATGGACAAAAAATTAAGAATCAATACAAGAACTGTATAATAACTTATGTCTTGTAATATGAACTCTTATCAGTGAAATTATGTCCCTAAGTATTTTCACTTAGCATGAGGTAATTGGTATTACTGATTAAAAAGGAAGACAGAAATGCCTGGAAAATTTCTGATTTCATTCAAGAGCAGCTGTCCCTGTAAATCTAAGCCAAAAGGGTTGGAGAGGGAGGGAAGCTGGAGGATTGCAGACCAGTGGGCATTTACCTTCTACAGCCATTTCATTTGGAGATATTATTTTTTGAGTAATTCTTTTTTTTGAGGACCTGATCACCATTTCCTTACTAGCATCGAAGGACCTGGTCACCATTTCCTTACTAGTATCAAAGACTGCTTCTGATTTGATGGGCCAGAATTATTATTTAATCTATCGGATCTAATTGTAACTCTAGTTGCATGTATTTCCTCAATTGATAGAACATCCGTATCTCTTCTGGCTTTCTGACAGAATTTTGAGTTTCAGTTCTGTGTTTTCATATATATTCCTCTAAGAGCCCAACACCTCTGCAAATTAATCTAATGATAAACTTCAATGGCAGCAAATTCAGGTCCATTGTTTGTCTTTGAGGAGGGTATAGGTTTTAAAAACATTATTATTTGGGCGGCCTGGCTAAAGTACTGTAGGGTAATATTTCATCCAAAGTCAGCTCTGCTGTTACTTGTTAGAGAGTTTTATGTGCCTGGGGTGTTGTTCAAAGTTTCTCTGTGTATTTGCAGATGTGCAGGAATGATCCTTTATGCCACCCATATGTGATGACATTGGTTGTATGAGAATCGAGGATCTGTTAAAATGACGTTAGTTCTTTTCCTGCCTTTTCTCTTGTTTCTTTTTCAACTGCGAAGCTGATCAAAAGTCACTCTGAGTACTGCTCTGCTTTTGAGAAAGGTTTTCATGGTGGATTAATTTTTTTTTTTTTACAGTTTAACTGGAAGCAGTTCAGTGGTAATTCATTAACATTGAAGGCTTCATTTTCAGCTGAAGGGGCTTATAGAGAAGTTCTCTTTAAAGGTGTGTCTGTGAGAAAGATGTGGGGAGATTTTGTGCACTTCTTTTCAATGAGTCTGTAAATATCTGGCAGTGAACATAGCGGAGAAATGAAACTGGGATTCAGTCCTCCAGAGGCATAGCACATTCATTCAGCTACTTGTTCAAACTCTGCTGGCTTTCAACCAGGACTGAATCTAATCCTTGGCATGGGACTCCCATATGAAAAATTGCTTGTCGACTCTTTCTTCAGAATCTCAGTGGGGAATATCCACAATATAGCCATGATTGCTACCAGGGAAATCCACCATCTTTCTAATCACAACCCTTCTTCTGAAGTTACTTTTGGCACTAGCATAATGAGAAGGAAAGTATATCAAACAAGATGTAGTTTGCATTAAAAATAAAATGTGAGTTCATACCGACCAGCCATGGACTATCATCACCAGAGGAAGAGAGGCATTGAAACTGCATTTGTCAAGAGTCTCCAACTGATTAAAAAAAATCTGACAGCTTTCTTCAGTTGTATCTGTATAGAGTCGAAATTTGGTTTCTAAATTTTGCTGATCTTTCTTTGTTCTAGTGTGCTGACTCTGTGGTCCCAGTGCCTCTGAAATGAAATTCATAACAACAGTCATAATAGGATGGAATCTAAAACCTGAAGAAGCTACCAGTGAAATACAGATTATAAGACAAAGTAAACTACTGAGACTGAAACTCTAGCTCTGTGTAATTGCTTCCTAAACTGTACATTTTGTCTCAAGAAAGTGATCTCTTTCCAAGTTTGAGATGGTCTAGATGTGCCTCTGAGTCCATCTGTTTGAACAATAGCAATTACACAGAAAATACTGATCTTATTGCGAGAGGCCCTTATAGAATGCATAACTATTTTAAAAACACGGCAGATGTGTTGTGACATTACAATGTTGGTGTGTGCACAGGCAAGCACATTCATAGGCTATTAACTCTGCAGGGCATATTTTACTAATGTGCATTTGCTAGTAATTGCTGAGCAAGCATCATTACACTGAAATAACCATTTTATTTGGGGTTATAACTCTGCTTAGAGATTTAGGTGGCTGCTTAAAACTATTAGACCACATTATAAATGGTTCTTGTTCTCTAAAAAGGCAAGATGAGATGTCTTTATTCTAGGTGTAATATTTTTGGTGGTTTCGTTTTTAGATAAAATAGTTTGGTACATATAGGACAGCATTTTCAGAAATGTCTGTTCATTACCTGGCATGGTGTCTGCATTTAAGCAAGTGGGGGCAGGGTGATCTGTGGTCTTATCAACATTATGAGCTTAGAAGGAGAAACATCACTATAGAGAAATTGCTGAAAAATGAAGTAAAATAGAGCAGAAACTTAAAGAAAGCACATTGTGACATACAAGTCTGGTGTTTCTTTCTAATGAGACTCCAGACTTTATTTTATTTATCTGAAGATAATCCTTATGGTAAAATTTTACTTAAACTAGAAAAAATGGGAATTAGTAGAAGAAAAGTTAGGGTGTGATAAACTAGACAAATGAGAGGCTACAGTTCTTTGTGTTGGAAAGGAAATCTTGAGAGTGGAGACAGTTTACTAATGGAGTTCTTTGGGGACTGTTTTTATGGCTAATCTTGTTTTAATATTTTCATTAAAGAAGCAGGCAAGAAAGGTACAAAATTTGGGAGGCATTTGCTAATACTGAGGAGACCAATATGTCAAACACAGAGCTAGATGAGCTTGAAAATACAGCAACAGAAACAGGTAGAAATCTCATACTATGAAGTGCAAGGTCATACGGTTGGTACCAATTTCTCTGTAAATGGGGGACATGAATTGGAAGTGACACAAGAGTGAAAAGACTTGACCTGTTGTAATCAATAACAAAACTGAGTCACTGCTATGTGCTGGCTATGAGAAAGGAAAATATAATTGAAAATGCATCAAGGAAGATGTTTTTTGGTAGGAAGAGAGAATGTTAGTGCCAATAAGCTAAGGTACTTACTAACCACGTACAGAACAGTGTGCATAGCTCTTATTACCAAGTTTAGGTGATACCAATTCAAGCTGCAACAGCTGCTCAGCAGCACCATTAAAAGGTCAGGGAGGAGGCTTTTGTTTTAAATAGACCCAAGAAATCCTGAAATATTATTGGAGGTGAAAATTAAGTATTTTATTCACTGAGAAAGTAGTTAAATTATCTGTAACAGAACTCACATCAATTAAATTTTAGTTCTTATATTTTTCTCGCATAAAAGTTCCTTAATATAACATTAATATTAGAAACTTTGTATTTTATCTTCCAAGTCAGCATTTTTCTTTGTATGTCACAACTCTTATGTCTGTAGATGTTTTCAGAAAACATCTAAATTCATAGAATATTCATTTCTGTATTATGTCTCCAAGTGTATCCTGAAGTTCTATGACATTGCTGTGTTGGTAAGGTTTTGATAATTTACAAGGTACTTCTGATACATTTACAGTTGAACCTTTATCCTGCAAGCATATTTAGTGATGGGAAATTCCCATATTTATGTATTTGCAGTAGTAGCATCTTATAATGCACAGTACAAAGAACCCTGATGTGAAAGCATGATGGTTTTAGATAAGACTTTTTTTGCTATATGTCAGTCTTGTTACAAACTTTATGGAAAGTTTTATTTTAGAATCACTGAATCACAGAATGGTTTGGGTTGGAAGGGACCTTAAAGATCATTGAGTTCCAGCCCCTGCCATGGGCAGGGACACCTCCCACCAGCCCAGGTTGCTCAAAGCCTCATCCAGCCTGGCCTTGAACCCCTCCAGGGATGGGGCATCCACAGCTTCTCTGGGAAACCTGCTCCAGTGCCTCACCACTGTCACAGGAAAAAATTTCTTCCTCCTGTCTAACCTAAATCTCCCCTCTTTCAGTTTAAAACTGTTACCCCTCATCCTATCCCTACACTCTCTGGTCAAGAGTGCCTCCCCATCTCTCCTGTAGCCCCCTTTCAGCACTGGAAGCTGCTCTAAGGTCTCCCCGGAGCCTTCTCTTCTCCAGGCTGAACAACCCCAACTCTCTCAGCCTGTCCTTGTACGGGAGGTGCTCCAGCCCTCTGACCATCTTCATGGCCCTCATCTGGACCAGCTCCAACAGATCAATTTTAGTATAATGATAAGACGTGATGCAAACAACATATTTAATTTAAGTGAATGGCAATTCTGGCAAGAAAACTCCCAAACTGAACTGCACTTGGTGTACACAGTTTTCTATTTGTTGCTAATTATTGTACATTCCAGGTAACTCCAGGCAATGTTATGTCTTATAGCTAGGAAACATTATTGTAGAAAGTTGTTCGGCCTTTTACAAGAGCTGGAATTTAAAAAGCTTCAAAGTTAGTGAAGGTTTAGTTGTCAAAATTCTTAGCTTCAGTGTCTCACATTTTTCTTTAATGGCTCTTTTAACTGTAATAGCTAGCTAGGACTAAGGCTGATCATTTCTCTGTCTACTTAAGAGCATTTCTCTTGGGGTTTTTTGCTGGGAGAGGACTCAGTTTCTGAAGAAAGTAGTATTAGAAGAAAGTGAATATAGATAAAGAACTGAAAATTGGAAAGAGTTTTAGTGATGTTTTTTATTCCTAACCTCTGTTTTATTCAGGTTTTGGTGAGTAGTCTCTACACAAAGATAAGCATTGTGTTTTATTTTTAGCACAAAAAGGGAAAAAAAAACAAAAGGAACTTGCTGCTGTTCCATTGTACACATCCTTTCTTTGTTTTATGCCTTGTTTTCATTTTCTTTTCACTCTCTCAGTGTTTGTGCAAGGCAAAGCCACTTTGTCACTCTCTGTATTGCTTGTACATACTGCAGAAAACAAGTCTAATAACTGTTTTCTTTATACATCGACTGTGAAAGTGCTTGTGGTGCTTTAATGGGTGAGCTTTTGGCTTGCCAGTAAGTCTGAGAGGGGAAACTAATAGTACAGTTTGAAATTCTTCATGGCTGTCAAAAGTTAGAAGTTCTAACAGAATCTGTTGTATAATAAGACAAAGAACTGCTTCAATCCGTTAATCCATGCAATGACTTGGAGAAGAAAATAGAGTCTGAAGAGCTTGGCTTCTGCAACAGACTCTTGCTAAAAATGTCATACCAGTGACTCAGTGGCATAATTGAAGGGAACTGTAAAGTTTCATAGGTCAGTTTACAAAAACAACAAAACAAAACTGCTAAAAATTTTCCTGTGCTAGGTGCAGCTAAGAGTGCCAAGTTCTTTCCAAAACTCCAAAGAGTTCATCTAGAGAAAATTAGCCCTTACCCAGGTGAGTGAGCTGCTGGTTTAATTTCCTTTTGCTCTGAAGATCCTACTCTAATTCTTTCAGCAGTGCAGCACGGCCACACTGATTCATGTGCTATAATAAATTACCTTCACGCAGAGCAGCGTTGTGAGCAAGAAATGTTGTGACTTCTTGATACCCCAGAGGAGATTCAGCCCTTTACCTTTCCTTACTTTGTGTTAATGATGTTTCTATGAGGTGCAGTAAAGACTGAAGAAGACTGGAGGCTAGGTTTGGAAATACCACTTCACTGTAATATAGCAAAGGTTCTTGTAAAATATTTTGGGGTTAGTTTTGTCAGACAAACCAAAACACTTTTAGATTTGACCTGAGATAATAATGTTTTCTTACTGAAAAGTAAAACCAAAAGAGTGATTCCCAGTTGAACAAAATGAAACTTTGTTTTAACTGGGATTTAAGAAAGAAAAGACTCCTACCTACCTGATAGTAGGTCTAGTAGCCATCTGAATGCAATGCACATTGGGATGTGCAAGGGAAGAATTCAGTTGTTGTTTCTCACTATTAGCATTTAATTATTATTCACATTATTCGTATTTATTGCTTTAGGTGATGCCCATCCTGCTTCTAATAATACGAGCTCCGAACTAAGATGAAAGGAGCGTATGAAGAATAGTGAGAAATCTAGTCAATATGAAGAATTTTTTTTTCCATGAGAAGAGGTCTTGCAAATAGTAATAATAATGATAATTCCATATTTTGAACTTGATTATTTGAACTAAATCTTCTATTTACCTGTAGAAGCAGGTTAATCCAGGAGATTGACTTGGATGGAATCACCCCTAAAGATGAGAAGGCATACTTTTTTTTTTTTTTTTTACTATGGAATTTTTGGAGTATCTTCTGAAATTTCCAGACATGATAGTAATGCTTTAAGACTTGTAAATTAAAACTCCACTGGAAACTAGACAAAGGTCTGGACACCGGCCAGGATTTGAAACCATGAAATATCATATGCTTTTTTGGGGGAGAGATCTAGAATCTAAATATATTTATTCTATACCATGTGTGATTTGGCATAAAAGTACAACTACAAAATATCTTCTTCATACCACAAAATTTGCCTAAAGATGTGTCAGGAATGAGGACAAAATATGGTGGGACTATGTAATGTTATAACAGCAAAATTTTAATATTTGCTAAGTCATATATTTTGATTTCATCTTGTGGTACAGCATGAAAACTTTGATTAAAATTGACATTCCCAATTAAGGAAAGTAGCTTTTCTGGCTAAGAAAAATAACATTTAGCATCCTTCTTCCTGTCATGGAACTCTACAGGAAGAGTTTCTTAGTAAGGGCTCACTGAAGAGGGTTGAAGATGTTTCAATGGCACTCACATAATTCATAGGCAATTGAAAAATTAATTAAGTACACCTGAATGGAAGCTGAACTTTGGGCTGCTGGCATGCTAAGGATACTTAAAAATAATACCCATAAGCATGCATACACCCCTCACTACCTAGATACAACCTATTTTTTCTGATTGCTTTCTGACCCTTCCTGCAGTCTCCCTTCATGTTCATGGGTGGATTTGTCTGAGCTTTAATCAATCTCATGTATCTTTTGGATGGCTTTTACTGCTTTTACTCCATGGAAATGTTTCCAAAATAGTGTTTGTGTATTATAATGTTCTTTTAGTGGAACCTGCATCCAACACATTTAAGAAACAAGTGACACAACTGTTGTGGTCCCCAGAATTAGAGAATTCTGTTGTGCAACTGAGCAAAGGCTCACGTTCATGATTTTTGGGCCACAGAAAGTGGAATGTATCACAGATCCCCTCATTTCCAATACCCACAGAAAGTGGAATGTATCACAGATCCCCTCATTTCCAATCGCCAGATTTTTTTTTTATCACTTAAGAGCTAATGACATGGAAGCCTTCAGGTCTCTGTTTGACAAATAAGGGAACTTAGATCTATTCTTG